CTGTGAGCTAGCTCACACTAACTCAGCTTAGAGGGAACACTCCTGGTAACTGGAATGTGAATAGCTACATATTTTGTACTTCATCTATTACCAAACAGCTTTCCTTTTTGGCACTCTGGTACTAGGTCTTCACTGATGTGCTTGTTGTTGGCTTTTCTCTCAAAAAACCAGTTACTGAAAATAGATAAAATTGTGTTGAACTTCTATCCTTTTTACCTGACATGGGTGGTTTTTGCTTGTTTTCCCCCAAATGTGCCATCAGATAGGCTCGCCAGCTCTGAGTTGGCAATACCTTGGAGATTTTGGGGGTGGAGCCTGAGTGGTGGGTTTAGATTAAGAGGAATTAGCTATGTTAGTCTGTTGCTGCAAAATAGTCCAAGAGTTCAAATAGCACCTTTAAGACTAACAAATAGCACCTTTAAGACTAACCTTTAAGACTAAGACTAACTGAGTGGTGGGTGTGGCCTTATGACACACTTCCGGTGATGGCAGGGGGTGTGGCCTTATGACACACTTCCAGTGATGTCAGGGGGCGTGGCATATGCTAATGAGTTATGATAATGAGTTCCCCTAGCTCTTTTTCTATGAAACAACCCCTGCCTGGGATACACGGATCCCCAGGAACATTGTGTGGGGGAGGTGAACACAACAGCTTGTAGCACTGCAGCATTAATCTTCTGTTTGACTTATCTACAAATGTACTAACAATTTGTGAAGACACAACAATGACCCACTTGGGGGACTAGTTATCTATGGCTGCTCTTCTCCCACACCCTTTCTTTGAGGGAAGGTGTGTGATAGGTAACCTGAAGGAATTGATCACACAAAGGAAGTACAATTTTCAGACATCTTGAAACCACTGAAAAGAACCATGGAGTTTTTGGGGAAAATTGAGATTTTTGGGGAAACTGAGATACATACAATACACACTTCCCTATCAAACCTAAGCTTGTATTATTGACTTAACAACGTAAGATGTATCATTCATAACTTAGCATATTAATTCTACTTTTTGGCATACTTATGTAACTTAAAATATAAATGTCTTACAGGGATCTTTTTGTAGTAGGAACTCCTTTGCATACTAGGCGACACACCCCTAATGTAGCCAATCCTTCAAGAGCTTACAGAGCTCTTCTTACAGGGACTATGTTAGATCTTGGAGAATTGGCTACATTAGGGGTGTGTCGCCTAATATGCAAGGGAGTTCCTGATACAAAAAGAGCCCTGATATGTCTATAAGAAGAATTGATAACATACTCAAAATGAGAGAACTGCAAACTGCTGCACCCTATTCTACCTTAGCACATATATATTAATTTTTGCCATCTGAGAGGCAGAAAAATTCTGCTGCATATCAAGTTAAACTTTAAACTCCAAAAAATTATATTATAATTAAACACATTATAGCATATTGTCAAAATTGCTCACATTTTAAAATATGCTTTATATGTCTGGGGCATAAATGTCTACAGCATAAATAGGAATCATTTACTGTTGTAGATTATATACACATTTTCATACTACACATTTGGAAGAAAACTATGTTTTGAGTAAAACTTTCCGTAAAACACATTTCACTCTACCTAAGGGGGAAAAGCTGATAGGAGAGGGTTTTTTCCATAGTGCTCCCCAATATTACCACTGGAAAACTTAATATAGTACTCAGACTTTTTCATGCTATACATCTGGACCAAGTAGAACCTTGTCCTAACATTTCACTAATTTTTCAATGTTCCCCCAAATTAATTTTCTGTTGGAAAAACAGAAAGGAGTCCTTGGAAAAAAAGAGAAGAAAAAAATCTGTTTCTTTCCCAGAGCTTCCCCCCCCCCCCTTGAGCCTTCATATCTCTAACCCCACACACTGATTAAACTATTATTGGGCTCTGTGTTAGTGTTCAATTAGCCTATTCCAGCTTTTTTGTTTTTTTAAAAAAGAATATATTTATATTTTGAAGCCACAAGCAAGGCCCTGAAGAGTGCCAAAAATCCAGAAGTTGAAATATCTGAATATCATGATGTTTTCAGTTCACAGGAATGCAACCATGGAAAAGAGGAAGGAGTTTTTTAAGAAGCACAGCGAATCTATCTTTCTAACCAGGGTGACAATGCTCGAATACACTGTTAACACACTAATGCACGTGCGCACACACTGACTACAGCAAATCGCAGCAGAAATTGCAGCCAGTTCGCAGGAAGCAGCATTCCATCAGCAAGTTACAATAGCCTTGTCATAAACTCACTTTCCTAAAAAGTCCCACACAAACCCCCCTACAGGCTGCGGTGCAGGGACAGACACCTGGTAAGGGGAGGACAGTCTGTGCGAAGCAGCGTGCCTTCTGAGAAAAGGCATGGTCAAAGAAACCAAACACATAAAACAATCCAAGAAAACCAGAAATGACATAGAGGAGTGAGAGAAAGAGAGGGAAAACACAAAAGGGAAAAAAAAGATTAAATGAAACATTAGATGACCATGGGATGACAATACAAGTAGTTAGTAAGAGGAAGTGGACAGCCAAACATTTAACATGTGAGCAGAACTGCATAAAAACAAAGCAGCTGACAAATAAGGTGGCTTTTAAAATTGAACCTATTGAAATGTTTCCAGTTCTTTCAAAGGGGCTATGAATTAGTTTCTGTTAAGCTTGCTGTTTGCTTTACTGTGCCTGTTCTGTACTTATTTGCTCATCATTTTTGCCACTGATCACTTTTTTCCCCCCTGGGGCATGGTGGCGATGGAAAACTCCTGGTAAACTTTGTTCCCTCAGCTCATTTCTTCCCAAATAGGAAGTGGCAACCTACAGTAAAGGAACAGGTTGGTTAGCTTCAGCCCCACAGCTACTTTTACCAATAAATCATTCTGGTAAATGTAGCAAAAGTGGGCAAAGAAATACAGCATGCCTCAGCAAACTGGTGGCATTTCAGAACTGTGGAGATGAAGAACAGAAGGCAACATTTCCTTATTATCACTTGCAGATTGGAAGACTAGAACAGCAAAGGATCATCTCAAACAACACAATATTCTTTTCTTACCAATGTGAAATAATACAGGATTCTCCAACTAGTGTATTATCAACTTCAGCCAGCATTCATCCTGCATGATTGCAGGTTACATTCAGAAGGAAGAATCCATTTACACATAACCATAGAGGTTATATTGTACTCTAAAAGATTCAAACATGAAAAACAGTTTTCTTGATAGGCAGAGAAACAAAAAGAGCCGCCTTGAAGAAGTTTTAAAAGGAAGGTGTAGCAGGTTTTGGGAAATGAGAAGGGCAAGGAGAATTCAAAATATCCCATGTAGGGGGGGAAATGACATTTAACCAGTGGCCACTATTAAGAAGGGCAGATAAGGTGTTCTGCTACAACACGTTCAATTTGGTGTTGAAGAAACATTCCGCAGTACCTTGAGCAATGAACATAAAGTTATGGTGCAGCAAATTACATCTGGGATAGTAGCAAACAAACCAAATTCAAGAAGAATTCTAGGAAGTTTATATTGCAATTGCCCTAGTAGACATTTTGTAAGGAAGAGATAAAGAAGAACATTTTTCCTTAAGGCCATCAACTCACCACCAAAAGGAAAAAAATTCAATGTATTATTGGAAAACATGGGAGAAAGAGAAAAGAATAAAAATTAACTTTCAAAGCTCTCTTCTGAGTCAATGAAACAGGAGCATACCTCATTCAAGAGAAAAAATCTTAGGAGGTGATTTAGTTTAAAGGTTTTGCTATGCTTAGTTTGCCCATGTTTGTCTTCATGAGAAGTTTTTTGGCACATTTGACTAGATTTTAATACAACACAAAGAGGACCATGAGAAGGTCTAAGAATTTGCAGATGTATGGAACATTTGTGCAATATATCCTTTTAAAATTTGCCCCCTGGGCTATACTTGGTGTCTTTACCAGTAGTTTACAAAAACGTTGCCCATACCTATTTACACATTCTGCATTTAGCTCAGTCTTAAAATATTAAGCCAAATGAACAAATGACACAGATGTGGGGCAAGTGCAGTCATCTCATTTCCAGGATTAATAAATCCACCAAGGAAAATTCTACTCAGGTGGTGGTCTCAATCTATGTGATTTTCCTGGCATTTGACACAATACAGTTGAAACCATACGAAATAATGTTAAGGAAATCCATTCTGGACAAGAGGAAAAATTATTGCCCTACCAAGAGAAACAGTCAAGCAAAGAACCTCCAAAATACATCTTTTAATGCAATTTATTTACTGCTGCTTTAAGATGCCAAGAGTTTAGAACTACATCTCAGGAGATGAGTGGCCAACAAATGGCTGGTGTTTTACTCCTACTTTCCATGATATCCTCCTGTGACCAGCTGCTAGGTTTTGGATGACCACAACCAAACCCAGTAGAACTGCAACACGTTACTCAGTTCTTTTTTTCAGGGAAATTTTTTTTTTTGAAGCCTTATTAATAACAACATAATTCCAAGAGGCTGAAATCCTGTTTCAAACCTGCAAAGTCATATCTGATTTGGTCTGGACCTGTTAACTGCTCATACAAGGAGAATTAGTTCTTATTGCAAGGAACAAGATTGGATTTTCTGAGTTTAGTGTACATGTAGCTTCAACTACTATTTTGCTCAGTTACAAATCAACAATATTCAGCATTTTTTCTTTCAACTGTACAAGATTTCAGTATATTTCGGCTCCATCTATTTACACCAATTCCATCAGCTTACTTTTCTGAACAGCCGGAAAACTGCAAAGTATTTTGAAACTCTTAACATCAACCTCACATACTCTAGAGGTCTTAAAAACAAGAGGCTGGGTAAATTCATGCCTGCCCTTGGAGATAGTATACTCCTCTTACCTTTCCAGTTCTGCTATCTTTTTATCTTTATCATTTTTCTCATTTTCCATCTCCTTCAGGATTTCCAGCAGACGATCCACCTCTGCTTGAGCCTTAGTGGATTCTTCCCTATACCGTGCCACTTCTCTCTCTAACTGCTGGAATCGGTCACTCATCTCTGGACTGGCCCTTGCCTCCAGGGTTGCTTCATGAGCCTGCAAAAATAGTATCCCAAGCATTACCCTTCACATTCATAAGAGAAAATATGCTTATTCAAACCAGTTCTCTCTAAAATATGTGACTCATTCTCAAGAGCAGGAAGAACTCATGAGAAACTGTAAATCACTTATGACTGGAAAAGACCAATTAAGATTAGACCATCCCCACCTTCCACAATCTGACGAAGGGATCTTTGACTCTCACAAACTTATACCCTGAAAATCTTATTGGTCTCTAAGGTGCTACTGGAGCTCTCCACAATCATAAGTCTATGAACACAGCTATTCCAAAAATGACTTTATTCCACACATACATTAATTTCCAATCCTTTTTCTTCAATACTTAAGTACTGGTTTCAGTAGAAGAGTAGAAAATTAAACTTTCTCACTGTGCTTCCCTGCACCAAGCTGATGGTAGAATTGAAAGTGCCACAGGCAGTGTTCTGCTCTCACAGAGGCTGTTCAGCTCTTTCCTGAAGGAGCAGCCCCCGCTGCCACTCAGGACCCTTCTTGAGCCTCCATGAACAAGTGCCTGGGAAATCTTGCATCCTTCCATGAATGGAAGCATTTCCCACTCATTCATGGGCTGCAGGTATCAGAGTTCACATATTTCACTGATTCCATACAATGCACTGTTGGAAGCTGGTGCTGCTGCCAAGCAAGACGGATAATCAGTTCAGAAACTTGGCAAAATCAGGATGCTTACTGTTTATTAAACACAGACATAAGAAATTACATTAGTTGCTTTCTACCAGAAGGAGGCTAGGAACATCTTTGCCAGCTGCATCAGACCTGAGCTGAGCTTCAGTTTGGTGTAGTGGTTAACTGCGCAGACTCTAATCTGGGAGAACTGGGTTTGATTCCCCACTCGCACCTGCTGGATGACCTTGGGCAAGCCATAGTTCTGACAAGAGCTGTCCTTGAAAGGACAGTTCTCAAAAGAGCTCTCTCAGCCCACCTACCTCACAGGGTGTCTGTTGTGGGGAGGGGAAGGGAAAGGAGTCTGTAAGCCGCTCTGAGACTCTGAGTGAAGGGTGGGGTATAAATCCAATCTTCTCCTCCTTCTCTGTTGCAGGGATTTAGCCTGGGCGTGGCCAGAGTTGTGAGTCAAAGGGTAAGAGTAAAAATGTGAAGGCCTGGGAAAAAACCAGAAAAATTCGGGGGGAAAAGGTTTTTTCCTGAAGCCTTTTTTTTGTTTTTTCCCGAAAAATTGAAAAAAGAAAAGAAAAAAATTGATTATGGAATGTTTTATTTTAATATGATGAATAAAATATTTTAAGACAAGGTGTTCAAATATTTTCCAAATCATTTCTAAAAAATATGTATGGTATCAGATTGATCTAATTTCTGTGCACTGAGGAAAAGCAAGTCCTAGGTTACAAACTGAACTCTCCCATGCAAGAACAAGATGCATTTCTTCCTTTAGGAGGTGCTATTGTCCCAAGAAAAGAAAAAGGTTTCCATTTTGTTTTTGCATGTGGGTGGGTATTCTGTTTGTAATAATTGTTTGGATACACTATATTTTTAATATGCTAGTTGTGATAATTTCATGCCAAGTAAAAAATGTCCATAGTCATATTTTATGTTCCTAAAGTAACAGAATTACTTTCAATCTGGAAAAGAAAAAAGAAGTGCTAATGTAGCATTTTTCCAATTTTTCTGAAAATTTCCGTTTCCCCCCGAAAAAACCCTGGGTTTTTTCTCAAGCTT